TCCTGGAAATGCTTAAACTTCATATATCCTGCCTTAAAATGTGATATTAGGATCCATATGTTAAATTCCTTTCTCAATATGGTTAGGCTCACACACTATGTTTTTGCCATGGATAAGGGAACCATTATTTATTAAATTAACCTAGTTTCTAAATTTGAATAATAGCACATACATTAACCACTAACCTAGGTTCACACAGCACATAATATGGTCCATGTTCCACAATATGCCTGATCCATCCCAGCCACTAATCCAATCAAACTTCCTTACAGATGCTTCCGGAAATCATTGTAACTGAGTCAAAAGTCAGTTTTGGAGTTACCGGTAAATGGCAAAGGTTGAGATGGTGATGGCCATTTAAATTGCCTTCTATCTAATATTTCAAAGTAAAGATACATTAAATTTTGAGTAGCTGAATCTTTTCCAGAGACTGAGAGAGAATAGTGGGGAAAACAAGAATTTCTGTGAAATAACTCTTAAAAGAAATATTGCTGTTGCTAAGAAATCAAGGCCCAGTTCCAATATCTAAAAATAAGCTCCTCAATTTGAAAGGTATCTTAGCTTTGATAGGAAGAACAGCAAACAGCTTATATTCTCTAAGTATGCAGGCCAGTCTTTATGTTTGCTTCTGGAAAAGCTGCTGCTGCTAATTATTTGGGGAAGTGTTCATGTTTTCAGTTTTGTTACAAACATTGGTTGTACCCTAGAGCAAGTCTCCATTTACCTGGCTATGTGCGCTTTCCTCCCATCTCACAGTGGTTCCTTTTGCAGTGCGCTCAAGATGGACTCTTTCTGGAGTGACAAGTATTGAATATTAGTATACATAGACAACAGTCGTTATCACAAGTGCTAGCTCTCCACTTTTTGGGCTGACTTGGTGCTACTACAAGATAATCATAAACTTATGACCATTTGTTTAGTGACTGTTCAAAGTTAAGATGATGCTGAAAAAGCAACTTCTGACCTGTGCCTGCAGTTATGTCCATTGTAGTCATTGGTCATGCAATTGTGAGTTGGATGCTTGGCAACTATTGTGCATTTATGATGGCTGCAGCATCCCACAGTCATGTGATTTCCATTTGCAACTTTCCAAGTAAGTTTCTGATAAGCAAAGTCAATGAGGAAGGGAACAAGGACAGGGAAGGTTGCAAATTGAGATCACATCATGTCTTTCATAATGACTACAATGATTCCCTTAACAACCGGGGCAAAAAGGCTGTAAAATCGAGTGCAGTCACATGATGCCTCATTTAATGACTCCATTTCATGACAAATTTTCCAATCCCTATTGTGATCGTTAAGTCAAGGACTACCTGATCCCTCTCCACTCAAGTCTTCAATGGCTCTCAGTTTCTTGCAGTGCCTAGATCAGGGGCCTGCAGCCGTGACAACTTTAAGACTTGTGGACTTCAGCTGCCAGAATTCCTCAGCATAGCTGGCTAAGAAATTCTGGGAGCTGAAGTCCACAAGTCTTAAAGTTGTCAAGGTTGCAGACTCCTGCCCTAGATAGATGCAGGTCCTTGGACTGGGTGTGGATGATCACAGCAGCTGTTCAGAGAGGCAATGGTGTTACTATGAGAAAGAAGTAGGAAGGACATCAAGGTAGGGCCCAGAAGTAGGATAAAAAATAGGTTTTCTTTTCTTTCTTTTTTTTTTTTTGCACAAGAGGTTGATATTCCTCTGAGAAAACAAAAAAAGGACTTCAGTTTCCAGGGACACCCTGATCAATCTGGCAGCCAAATGAGAAGCAGCTGTGGAAGCACAGAGTATCCTGGCAGGATAGGAGCAGGTAAATTGGAGCTATACAGGTCACTAACCTCCCTTATGTATCATAGAATCTTTGCATAGGGGTAGGCGTGTTCATTTTCCAAATGAAAACATTGGTCTCCTGTTGAGCTCTTTGATCTGCCTTAGTGACAGGCTGAGCCCAAGATGAAGGCCTTTTTAAGGGTATGTCATCCACAAACTCTAAGCAACCTATTTCGGCACTGTGATGTTGTGTGGGCAAGACCCAAGTGTCAAATGGTATCCAAATGCTATTGCAAATCACCTTTCTTTAAGGTTAGTGAGAGTGAACTTCCACAAGTATAAATTTCTACCATAGAGAAGACTATTAGTATAACAGCCAGTTTGGTGAAATGGTGAAGATGCTGGACTAGAAACCAGGAGGTTTCTGGTGAGTTCTAGCCTTTCCTTTGAGTTCTAGTTCTGCCTTAGACAATAAAAGCCAGGTGGGTGACTTAGGGCCAGTCACTCTCTCAGCCCAATCTATCTCACAGGGCTGTCTTTGTGGGGAAAATAGGAAGTGTGCGTATTAGTTATGTTTGCCACCTTGAGTTACAGTATATATAAAAAAGATGGGATAAAAATATAATAAAATACTCAAACAACTTTTCAGCATTTAAAACGGGAGCAAAGCCAACTTCAAAACTCTTTCATAACAAAGTTAGTTTCCTGGGCAAACCATTTTTTCTGAGACATTTGTAAAACAGGAATAAAGTTTTACATGTTACTTTATATAGAATTAGAATAAAGCATGTTTTATGTTATTTTTATTAATGATGGTACAGTATGCAATTTTATTATACCTAAGAACTAGGAAAGAAATCATGTAAGTTGGATAATGAATCTTAAAATCTTGCTCAAAAAGTGTTATAGTATTCACATGCTGTAACAAAAATATCAGAAAGTGCTGAATATCTTGAGGATTAGCAGTTTGTATCATTAGATGCAAACTGTGCACTTGAGCAGGAGAATAAACTAATAATTTGCTTATGATTCCCACCATTAGCCAATCAGTTACCTCAAATTAGCTTATGGTGGGAATTGTAAGTAAATCATTAGTTGTATCAAGGAGATTCCTGCTTTTGGAGATCTGGTATCAAAAAAATTTGGCATATTATTCATCCTAACTTATGTGAGTGATAAGGAGACAGCCATCATTTGCTTTTCTTTGGGCAATAACTTATTTTGGACTGTCTTAGCCATAAGGTTCATTAAAACATTCCTCTTCCAACATAACAGAGGCATCCTTAAGCTTTTGCTTTTTATCCAGAGTAAACTGGATCAATCTATAATTACTTTTGATTAAAAAAAAGTGATATTCCCTCTGCAAAGGAGCAACTGAATATGGAAAACAGTGGTTTTGGAACTAGTATATTTCAGCTTCTGAAGACCACCGAGAAATCACTCAAGAAATGAAAACAAAATCTAACTCAGATTATATGAAGGTGCTTAGCTAAAATTCATCAATGATTTTGATTCTGTTAATTAAAACTTAATCAAGGCGATGGGATTCTTGCTAAAGGCATTTAGTCATATAAAGCAAAATTTAGAAGGATTTTGTTAGCAACATATCATAAATGTACCATTTCTTGCATTTTTCAGACTTTGGGATCCTGTAGTTCAACCCACAGGATTGTATGTGCATGCATGCACATATTTGTGCTGTTCACCTGAGAATAGCACTCCACTGATGAAGTGTAGAAGTCAGTTCTAGTTATGAAGAATTGTCAATCTTAAAAAAATTAATAGAAGAGATTGTATGTATATATACAGTATTACAGGTAGTCCTCGACTTACCACCACAATTGAATCCAAAATGTCTATTGTTAGGTGAGATATTTGTTAAATAGGTTTGCCCCATTTTACGACCTTTCTTGCCTCAGTTCTTAAGTGAATCACTGCAACTGGTAAGTTAGTACCTGGCTGTTAGGTGAATCTGGCTTCCCTATTAATTTTGCTTGTTGGAAGGTTGCAAAAAGTGATCACGTGACCTTGGGACACAGAAACAGTTATAAGTATGAACCAGTTGCCAAACATCTGAATTTTGATCACCTGATCATGAGGAAGCTGCAAAAGTCATAACTGTGAAAAAGTCATGTCACTTTTTCAGTGCCGTTGTAACTTTAAACCTTCACTAGATGAACTGTTGTAAGTCGACGACTACCGGTATATGAAGTGTGGAGTATTTGTGCTATCTGAGCTTGATTGTTTGCTTGCAGATGTTTCACTACCCAACTAGGTAACATCATTAGATAATGTTATCTAGCTGGGAAATGAAACATCTGCAAGCAAATAACCAAGTTCAGACAGCACTAAGTACACTATAGTCTCTCTAAGCTAGGGGTCCTCAACCTTGGCAACTTTAAGACTTGCGAACTTCAACTCCCAGAATTCCTCAGCCAGCTTTGCTGGCTGAGGAATTCTGAGAGTTGAAGTTCGCAAGTCTTAAAGTTGCCAAAGTTGAGGACCCCTGCTCTAAGCCAGTGGTTCTTAACCTTTTTGAACGAATCGCCCCCTTGAGCCAATGAGGAAGTTGTCATCGCCCCCCTCCCCCAACATCTCTCAATCACAACATAGGAAATAATTCTTCAATTTATGCAAACACTTTTTTTGTTTTCTTTAAAATTGTCATCAGGATATATCGATGCAAATAATTTATTTCCAATCTTTTCCCCATATCTCCCATATTCTGGCCAATGGCTGGGTAGAGGCTGCTGCACAACGCGCATGAAGATAAGCAATGCATCTTCACATACATACGGCGTTCTGTACTGAAGCTATCTGGAGGAACATTTGAAAACAATTCAATCCACTAATAGCGAGTGATCTGATGTTTTTGTACGACAGATATACAGTGATTCACTGTACGAAAAAGTCTCAAAAGTGTCCCCAAAACTTCTCGCTCCATCGCCCCCATATCGCCCCCTTTCGTTCCTTTGCCCCCGCATTGCCCCTTTTCATTCCATCGCCCCCCTGAAAAATGAAATCGCCCCCTGGGGGGCAATATCGCCCAGGTTAAGAACCACTGCTTTAAGCAACACCTACTATTTTTCTGTATATCCTCACCAAATGTGAGTCAATGAACTAGATAGAATTATAGTGGGATGATACCATTTTGTTCTATATTTAGTATGTATCTTATCCCTGTAGGCAAAAGGATTATTAAACCAAACCAAAATTTCAGCATCAGTTTTCATAAAATATATTACATAATGGAAAGCTTTAAAAACCTTTTATTTCTATCCATTTTGTTACTTCACTATACTGCACATGAAGAACAAATGTGGATGGCTGTCCCACACGGTATTTCACGGGCTTTGAATGTGTTTCTCCCACTTTTTATGTCTCTGGAATCCTTTCCTAGGCAGTCTTGAAGATTCCAAACTCGGCCAACACCCATTCGGGAAACTTCCATGCTATGATTTTTCATCATCAGATATCTTCCAAGCAACCTGTTCTGTTACACTGGCTGTTTTTGCAACTGGATATACGAGCCTTGCCCTTCTGTTAAGCACAGCATTATGGCTGTCCCAGGCAGTAGGTACTGTGTGATAGGTAGTGTCAGCAAGGAAGAAGACAGACCTTCCCCATTTTGTTCTTCTGTTGTTATATCTGCAAAAAAGATTAAATGCTCTTCTGTCGCTAGCATTCAGCTGCAGTCTGGTCAGTTTGTGTAGACATGTCTTCTGGTACTTACCTAGAACAGGGGTCACCAACCCCCAAGCCACGGCCCACTATTAGGCTGTGGCCTATTCAGAACCGGGCTGCCTGAGAGACAGGCTGGTGCGTATGTATATATGTGCGCACAGCTCCACTCACACAAGTCCTCAAACAAGTGGAGCTTTGCACGTGCACGCTGGCCCACTGCTTGCATGACCTGGTTCCTCTCTTCCCCCTCCCCCAAGCCAGGTCACCAAGCCGCAAAGATTGGGGACCGCTGACCTAGAGTACCAAATGTCTTGTAAAAACTTTAGGTCATGAAATGATGGCTCATTGTGCTTAGTTGTTCCGTTTGTCCTCACCCTTGCAGTTCATATGTTTACTTTTCTAATCTAGCAATATTGGTTGGGAATGGAGATACCTCTTGTACTATCATTTAGCTCCTCCCATTATTAGTTTCGATTTGAGTTGTGACACAGTTCTTCACATTAAACTGTATTGGATGTTTTAAAAAGTTTTTTTCCCCTCTACCAAAGAGTTGCTTTACAGCTGCAGAGAAAACTAACAAACAGCAATCTCTCCTCAGCAGTCAGTGTTTGCCATTTGCCATCCCATTTGTATTTACTTTTCTGTTCCTTTAAAAAAAATCTTCAAGGTCCATTAATTCAGCACCAAAGTATCTGAACTTCCTGTATTATGAAAAAGAAATACAGATTTTTTTTTAGCCCTGTAAAGTTGATATAGTATATCATGTATATATTCAGTTTAAAATGTAAATATATGCAAAACCCATTCAAGGTACATGAGATTCAGTTTTAGAATTATATATTCATTCAACACAACAAATTTCCCACAGTTAAAACATGGGAGAAAAATTACACACATTGTTATAACATGTAGAACAGTACCAAAAAAATCAAAGCCCAACATCTCTGCCTTTTTTGAGTATATATCAATTTTTGTACTTAAAAAGGGTCTGAGTTGAATGAGGGCCTCATTAGTAGTCTCCATAAAGAATATATACAGCTGTAATAAAAAGACAATTAGGCGTCTTGTTTATCACTATAGCCTACTGTTTTATCTTCCATTTATTTTGTAAAAGTTCCTAAACTCAGCATATGGTGCAGGGAGAACTACCATTTATATGGCTTAATATTAGCTATACCACTCTAGGATCTAATCTTAGGAATGACTTTCCATGCACATATTGGCCCCCAGGACAATTCTTAACAGAAGATAATAGCATAGAGCTAGGGTGGGGAACCAGGCCTTCCAAGAACACTGTAGCCTCTATTTCTTTTTTTGAAGAAATTTAAAAATGGAGAAGAGAAAGTGGCTGAGTTGGAAAACTTGTAGAAATTATGGATCAGTACTTGTTCTTCTATACATTTGCTATACAGTATAGTTATTGGGGGTAGACTAGTACTAGTTTCAGTTTGAGTTGTGATACAGAATAGTTCTATGTGGATTTGTGGGAAGCAACAGGAAAATTTGCAGTTTTAGATTTAAGTAAGATAGAGTAGAGTGGAGTAGAGTAGAGTAGAGCAGAGCAGAGCAGAGTAGAGGGGAGCTTGAAGGGACCTTGGAGGCCTTCTAGTCCAGCCCTCTGCTCAAGCAGGAGAACCTATACCATCTCAAGTGACTGTCTAGCCTCTTTTTAAAAACATGTGATGGAGTGATGGAGCGCCCACGATTTCTGGGGGTAAGCTGTTCCACTGGTTAATTGTCCTCACTGTCAGGAAGTTTCTCCTTAATTCTAGGTTGCTTCTCTCTTTGATCAGTTTTCAACCATTGTTTCTTGTCCTGCCCTCTAATGCTTTGGTGAATAACATGATCCCCCTTTTCTTTGTGGCAGCCCCTCAAATACTGGAAGACTGCTATCATGTTTCCCCTATTTCTTCTTTTCTTTAGACTAGCCAAACCCAAGTCCTGCAGCCATTCTTCATATGTTTTAGTCTCCAGGCCCTCGATTATCTTAGTTGCTCTTAATGCAACAGTGAAACCAGACAGGCCAAGCAAGCATGCATGAAAAGGGGATGCATTGGTTTTCAGGACAGCATGTCTTAGATTTTTTAGTACAATTCAATGTAACTTGGATTTTACTATTCAATATTTGTTTAAATCACTCTTTAAAACAGTGGTGGCAAACCTACGGCACGGGTGCCAGAGGCGGCACTCAGAGCCCTCTCTGTGGGCACGCGCGCCGTCGCCCCAGTCCTAGGCCTTCAGCTGGGTTTTATGAAACCTTTTCATTTTAGGCCTCTGCCGCCGTATACAAAAAAAAAAGATTCAATCAATCAGTCAATTTCAACTTCTCGTGGGGAAAAAAAAGATCTTGCAAAGTTGGAATTGATTGATTGAACTTTTTAGTCCCACCCAGTCTGCTGTTACCACTGTAGCCACGCCCACCCAATGGGCCACACCCACCCAGCACCCGACGGTGCATAAGTGGGTTTTGGGTTGCAGTTTGGGCACTCGGTCTCTAAAAGGTTCGCCATCACTGCTTTAAAATCTGCAGCAGAATGCAGTGTTTTTCCTTGCCGTTTTTCTCTGCTAATCAGACAAAATAGTAGTCACATCCTCCTCTATTGCAATCTAGCGGTAGAAGCTTTTTGGATGAGAAATGAAACATCTTTAAAGAAAAAGGAGAAAGTCTAGTTGCCTCATGAAAAAGCACCTTTGGGCTTACTATGATCTGGATGACTGAAAATCTCGATAGACATTCCTCTATTGCAAGTTCTTTGAAAAAACAATGGAACAGATGAAAATTTCTGGAAATATAAAAGGGAAGGAGTTATAGGAGGGTGACTCTCAGCTATTCCATGATGGAACAAACAATTTGTATTTCAATGTTCTCTATCTTTTGTTCTCAGTATTTTCATGACACTTTGAAGTAAAGTTTTTGAAAAAAGAGAACCCTCTAGCTACTTTAATGACAGTTCTATCTGAAATGATAGGATTCTCTGAGTATCTCTGAGAATATGGCTCTCTTCTCCAGTAAGATAAATCTGGGAAGAATAGTTGAAAGGCCATAGTACAGTACACCCCTGCCATAGTATAACTTGCCATATTAAATAATGTTGGAAAATATGGATAGTTACTTGAGTCCTCTAAAGGAATTTTTTCTAACTCAATACTTTTCCATACTTTTCCCAGCACTGCCTGCTGAAATTCTAATCAAGCTGCTCAAACACACCATATACAATCTGACTGCAAATAAGTTGAAATTAGCAATTAGCATCTATGAATTCTAGAAATTAATAGGTGATTGTTCCATGTCTAGGACTTTGTTGCTGACTATCTGATCCTATATTTCCTACTCAGTGTTCCAATATCTCAGGGGCTGCCACAAAGAAGAGGGAGTCAAGCTATTTTCCAAAGTGCCTGAAGGCAGGACAAGAAGCAACGGGTGGAAACTAAGCAAGGAGAGAAGCAACCTAGAAAATAAGGAGAGACTTCCTGACAGTTAGAATAATTAGCCAGTGGAACAACCTGCCTCCAGAAGCAGTGAATGCTCTAACACTGGAAGTTTTTAAGAAGAAACTGGACAGCCATTTGTCCGAAATGGTATAGGGTTACCTGCCTGAGCAGGGGATTGGACTTGATGACCTCCAAGGTCCCTTCCAACTTTATTATTATTATTATTATTATTATTATTATTGCTGCTGCTGCTGCTGCTGCTGCTGCAGCTACTACTACTACTACTACTACTACTACTACTACTACTCTCCCCAAGACTTCAATAGGTTTGTTTCAAGGAACTATCCCTTAAAATAGCAGCTCTGAAAAAGTTTTCAAGAATTTAACAGTGAAACTCTGCATTATTTAATCCTATGCTCAACACATGAGAAATAATAATAAAGAGGCTTTAGGCATTTTTGGTGTACACTACCTTTAATATTGAAAAGCAAGTCTCAAACAAGACAGAGGTAACTATTTTGAGCCAAGTTAAAGCTGTGATTGTTTGCTAAAATTAATGGCTGGTAATTCTATTTGAACAGATCCCCAAAGTGAATTTTTAAAAATGAGAACTGTTTTGGAATGTCTTTTGTTGTCTAGATGTTCACCTCTTTGGATGATTATTTGGGAATTACTTTAGAAAGGTTTTGACTTAATATACCAACGTGGGAATTTTTTCTGCTTTTAAAGGAAAATATATCCTCCCCTCAAAGCAGTGAAGGAGACAGATGTTTGAGACTTTAGTTTTAAAAAAGTTACCACTTGTGTGCCGTCTTCTTTCTGTTTTTCTACTATGCCAACTGAAAGCAGTCATTAAGCAACAAGACTGTTATTATTATTACCAAGGGAAACAACGAAACCCATTATCATCATGAGGCCTCACATTCACTGGCAAGGAAGATTCACAGAGCACTTACAAGCTGGCCAAGGACCATTAATAGCTACTACTCAGTATAGTAGCATGCATTGTTGATACCATCCTGATCTGTATTGGCTTCCGGATGCTTTTTAGTCCAAATCAGAGAAAGCCCACATGGAGCAAGAGATGAAATGCTTCTTGGATCATAAAGACAAAAACTAAAATATTGCACAGGCATATCCTTTTGGGCAACTGTGAGTAAATTCTGCTGAAAGCATATTGTGCAGCTCTTCTAAAGATGCCGAGGATCTAAATTTAAAAGAAAGGCAGCCCTTTCATCTAATACAATTAGTTCAAGCTATGAGACTGCCAAATGTAGGGTGTCAAATGCCCCACCCTACCGTAGTAGAGATTCAAGGCTAGTCACAAGAGTGTAATTCTAAGGGAGACACACATCAGCACCAATCCTCTTCTGATTAAAGGAATGATTGGACTTAGTCTTTGAGTATAACCATTAAGAAGAATGAGATGTCGATATTTATTTCAGTGGATTTACTGGAAGTATGATCATTTGGATACACATCAATACTAAAAAATAACAATTACAAATCTGTTGCCTTTTCATCATACTCAAATTGCTGCTTGACCTTTATTTCTTTATGTTCAAAGTTAGGGGGAACCTCTCCATTGCCAGGATTACACAGAGAGCCTTAATTCCCATTGTGTTCCAGCCCACAGAATCCACCCTTTTCAGAGCAGAGGTTAGAAGAGAGAATTTTCAGTTTAGGTTTGGAAGGCCACATGGGGAGAAGAGGACAGTTTCCATCAAAAAGTCAGTATGCCTTAGACTGTCCCGTGCAATAGCTCACAAAAAAAAGTGAGTATCTTCGGCAACTGGGATGCATTGTAATATTTATTTTACTGAAAACAAAGCAGGAAAGTAATATCTTAGTTAAGAAGAACTAGTTAAAAATCAGGCACATTTTTTTTAAAAAAACGACCAGAAATAACTAGCATTAGCAGCGTAGCAAAGTGCTTTATAGTCCAATCCTCTGCAACGGTTAAGTACTCACAGTAAATCATTCACTGATTTACCAAACTCTACCCAGAATTGCAGTCTCACAATGCAACAAATAAAACGTCTTTCTCAAATCCCCAGTGTTGAGAGACAATGAATACTCACAGTTAAAAAAAAAAAATCTTCAGTTTGTTCATCTCTCCTCAAAAGGGAAATTACTTCTGTAAAGTTCCATGAAATAGGTGACATTTCTGCCCATCTCTAGCCATCCTGTACAAACTTAGCACAAGTCTAATCCCCAGATATTTTGCAGCTTGATAGAGAATTCCAAACTGGAGGAGAATAGAAGATGATTCGTGAAAATGAGGACTTGACTTGCTCCTCGCCTCTCAGCTCCTGCCTTCACTGGCCCACTACTGATACCAAACTTCCCAGGACTCTATCAGGAATGGTCTCCATTGACAGGGAAGATCTCGTGAATCTGGGCAGGGAAGGATATAATCTGCACCAGTGACTGGAAGCTCTCCTCTGCCTAGAAGCCAGGTATTTCCATTCCTGGGCATTTGGAAACTAAGAGGTAAATACTTTTTTCCCCCTTAATGTAAGCTGTCTCTATCCAGTATGAAAGGGAAAAATGGGCTTTGCTTTTGGGGTCTCTAACTTACCATTATGTCAGGGTCTTTTCTCTCACTTGCTTCCCCTCCGACTCTCGGTTCTAGATAGGACGGGCAGGCTCCACTTGGCACCTGCCTGAGCCCCGTCCCCGCCCTTTCCCTTTGCCAAAGTTGGAACTGCCGAAGACCAAGCCGGGCCAGCAACAACCCAGGTCGCGCGCCAAGGCTTTCCTCTCTCCCGAGGCCCCTATTGGCCGACAGACAAGCACGTGCCAGTCCTCCGGGCTCTATATTAGGACAATAGTTACCTCGCGGCCGACTTTCCGGGGGGCTGAGAGGAGGAGGAGGAGAAGGAGGAGGGACAGCGGGAGAGGGAGCGGGTGCAGGTAGAGAACAAGAAAGGGAGGGAAGGATCGGGCGCCGCTGCCCCTTCGCAGTCCTGCCGCCGCTGTGCCTTCTCGACGTTCATCTTCTTCCTCCGGGGGGGGGGAGAACCATGAACTCTTTCCTGGAGTACCTGTCGCGGGGCGGGGACAGCTCGAGTTTAGTTGGGAAGTTTAGCAGCGCAGAGCCCGGCAGCGTGGCTTTGCGGCCGCCCTGCGCTCTGTCAGCCAGCGGGGACGGCGCTTACCCGGGTCCTACAGCGGGAAGCTTGCCGGACTTCTCCAAGCGCTTGGCGGCGCCGCCGCTGCTACAGCCGCAACAGCTGGCGCCCTGCGCGCTTACCTCGAACGTTTTCCCCTCAGCCGAGCTCAACCTGCTCTGTCCCGAGGCGCCCTCCGCAGCCCCAGAGGGGAGCGCCCCGGTGCATTATGCCACGTCCATTTTCCCGGGTTGCGGCGGCGGCGGCGGCGGCGCATACCTGCAAATGGATTATACCGCCCTCGCCGAGACTTTTCAGCCTTGCCCCAAGGATGCGCCTCTGCGGCCGCCGCCCCCGGACTTTTGCACCAAGGCCAGCGGCCAAGCGGCGGCCAGCACTTTCGAGTGGATGAAAGTCAAGAGGAACGCTCTCCCTAAAAGTAAGTGCCGCGCTTCTTCTGCGCGGGCCCGGTGGATGGGTTCGTCTTGAAAAACGGCAAAGGGTCCTCAGCTCCTTCGATGCCCGAATTGTAGCTGCTGCGTAGTTGTCCAAAAGCGAATATTTTTTTAACTTTCTCATTGTACAAGGAGCCCTGCAGAGCTTTTTAAAAAAACTTGTTTAGTGCTCTGTGCTGACCACCTCATGAAAGTCATTAGTACAATGGTCTCTTTCAGTGCTGGGACTCTCTTAAAATGGGCTGGACTTAATAAATTTAATTCGTTTGGATTCTCTTATCTAATCCGGTTAGAAACATAGTATGCTTCCCCCCTGGGCTCAATACGTGCATAACTTTGAATTAGAGAAAAACATGGCAAAAGTTTTTTCCCCCCTCAAAGTATAATCCTGATTATCTAATTCAAGGAACTTGCATATTTTATGACTGTCCATAACAGTCCAGTCTTCTCAACCAATGCTTATTGTTTTCAGGTAAACCCACAGCTTGTGGGTCTTCCAGTCTTCCTAGTGTGGTAAGAACCAATTTCAGCACTAAGCAACTGACCGAATTGGAGAAAGAGTTCCATTTCAATAAATACCTCACCAGAGCCCGGCGTGTGGAAATAGCAAAGTCTCTGGGCCTCAATGACACTCAAGTGAAAATCTGGTTCCAAAATCGGAGGATGAAGCAGAAGAAAAGAGAAAGGGAAGGAATAGTGATTCCTGGAGTACCTACTCAAGTCTCTCCTTCGGTATCCAGCCCCAGACATTCAGGGATGTGCTCTGTGACCCCTTCTCCTACCAAAACCTCACCTTAATATTATGGCATTACGATAATACTGAGAATTGATACAGATGCATGATACTGAAAAGACTCAAAATCTTCAAAAGCAAAATCACACAGCTCTGTAATGTGTGAAATCATGCATATTTGAATTCAAGGCATAAAAGAAGACAATACTTGCACTAAGTTTTACACTGACCATGGAAAAAGTCCATTGTATAGAATGAAAACCTGCTGCTTTACACAGAACTGATTCAAGGCACAAAAGGCATATGATATGTTTACATTTTATTTATATGTATTTTCAGGGAAAGCTGCTTTCAGCTTCTATATGCTGCTAAACTTTGTTGCTGGCCTGGCTGAGTTTATTTACAGGCTGATATTATATTTGTTTACTTAAAAAGAAACCCCTTCGGACTGATGTGGGGGATTCTACAAATAAAACCAAAGATAGGGAATAACTCATGGATGGAATCTATTCTGCACCGATTTTAAATCTATTTTAGTCCAACCAATCTGTGGTTTTTAATTCGAATATAATGGGTTCCACTAGGTCTAGGACGTCCCCATACAACTTCTTTGAGGTATCTGTATGGAAACACAATCATTAGCAGGACAGCCATCGGGATGTTTTGATTCCTTTTTGTTTATGAGGATCAAGCAATGATGCTTCTTAAAAATGATACTTGTTAGAAAGTTCTGGCAGTAGACTGATTTAAAATACTTTGGTTTAAAGTTGGGTGAGGGAGAGAGAGGAAAAAAACAAATGGGTTTAGATTATTATTTATTGCATTGATATATACCAAGATAAAGTGTAGTAGTTAACACAATTCCAAAGCAAAGGACCCCAAGCTTTTTTTGTTTTTTGTTTTGCTTCATCACCTTGTTCTTCTCAGGCTATGCATTAACTAGCTTCGGTTTTGTTTTGAACTAGGTGCTTTAAAAATACATGAGCATACATACAAATAACATAGTCCAGTGAATCAGTCTACAGGATATGTTGTTAAAATTCTATTTTAATTTTGAACAGCAGAAACAATTCATAGTAGTCATGTTCATAGTTGAACATTGAATTGTAATTCTGAGAGAACTTCCACCACACAGGGAATAACAAGCATTGCTAAAGGAATAAAGGCAATTTCCTCAGAAGATAATGTTAATGAAAATTCCAGATTTGCAATGTAATCTTCAAGCAGGGTCAGAGTAAAGTCCTGGTTTCAATTATGGAGAACTATTTAATTATCAAATTTCTGAAAGTTCCCTTTTCTGAGAAAATTCACTTTTTTTTAGTAAATCCTTGAAATTCTTATTCTGAGAAAAAATTAACTGAGTATGAATATGGTGAGAGAAATATCTGGCATTAAATCAAATATCCCATGTTCATCCTTTGAGGGAAAGAGAACTGAGATGATAGAAAAGTGAAGAAAGCACTGTGTCTCAGGAAATACGTGTAAATAGAGAGTTGCCTTTTATTCTTGTATGTGAACCATTTAAGATGAACATTATGATTTTAATAGAAGTTCAATTGATGAATAAACTTTGAGAACTGTTTACATGCTGTTGCCATTAAGTCTGTGGCAATCTTGGTTTTTAATTTCATGCTAATCAGCAATTTGAAAAAGAGAGAGCCCTCTGAGACTTTTGATATTTCAAAAAGTCTCCAGGCTCCCATTCCAGAGTTCTTCTGAGGAACATGATGTGTTGCTAGAAGAGGGTTTACAGCTGCAAGCAAAAAAAAAAAAAAAAAAAACAAGTTATAACAGCCTGATCCAGAATTCATGTAAGGAAGCCCTTGGGCACTGAAGCTAATTAAACCCATTACCAAATAGTCAAAATAAATCATAACTCAAAGACTTAACTGGAACAGAAATAAATCCATTTAAGCAAACTGGAATTGTCATTGACTTGTGAGTACAAATGAATTGCTCAAGGATTAGGGTGCTCACTGTTTGTTGAAGACTTACATTATAAGTCATATCAGATTGCTGTACTTGACAGAAGTATATCTGAACTCTTCCTGCCCTGTAATATCATGGGTACAGTCAGGTCAATATTTTAGTGGCCTCACTTAAATAATTACACTTTCCAGAGCAGAAACTGAGGGTTATTTTTCCCACAGTGGAAAAAAAAGTCTTTGATAGTCCTAAAAATGACCATAACTGTTAGACATGGTGGATTGTATATTTCACTGTATTTGGAAAAGTTTTGTATTATCTGATTATTGCTTCCATTATTTTTGACTTTACACTTACGCAGTATGATTCCAGGTTTATAGAGAATCTGCCTCAGTGTGTTCATGAGCTATGCTATCAATTTGAGCTGCAATTCTGTATAGAGAGTAAGATCTTTGGCCCCTAGCGAGACTTATTTCTGTAACCATGCATAGCTTCTTTGATCAAACAGGAATGTCAGTACAGGACTTTTTATAACCCCTTTGCTTTCTTGTTTCCTCCTTTGACCTTTCCAATAAAATCTACTTGATGTTTTAGACCATTAGAAGACCTCAGCAAGACAATGCTCTGTTGGAATAAATGTGTCAAAAGAACATGTGGTAGGGAGAGTTTTATTAATGTGAAGCTTGGAAGGAGGTTTCCATCACATTGGGAGATGTGATATATACGATGCTGTGTTCATCCCATGACAGCATGTCATAAAAAGCATACCACAATCCTTTGCATATTTCCTTGGGAGTAAATGCCACAAAACCCAATGAGATTAACTTATTCTAGGTACTTTGAAGAGGCTAAGAAAAGGAAAGGTCTTATGACATCATAAAAGCAATTTATTTGAGCATACATTTTTGTGGTTTGCAGTTTGCTTGTTCCAATATAAAGTAAAGGGGGAAGTAAGTAGGGAGGGAAGAAATGAAAATAGTTAACTGAAACCTTTGAAGTGAGTGTTTTTAATGAAATCTTATATTGCTTAGCTTGAGGGCTCTTTTACAACTGAATTTTTGTCCTCGAGTTTATTGGTATTATTTATTTTATTTTTATTTTATTTTTAAAATTTATAAGCCGCCCCACTCCCGGAGGACTCTGGGCGGCTAACAATAAAACACATAAAACATAACAAAACAAACAGTACAAGAACAGTCATCCAGGGGTCAGATTTTATAAACCCCAGGCCTGCCGGAAAAGCCAGGTCTTATTAAGCAGCTTACAGAAAACTAACAGGGTGGGAGCGGTCCTAATCTCCGGGGGGAGCTGGTTCCAAGAGGTGGGCGCCATCACAGAGAAAGCCCTCCTCCGTGGCCCCGCCAAATGGCACTGCTTGGCCAACGGGACCTGAAGGAGGCCCAGCCTGTGGGATCTAACCGGACGAAGAGAACTATGAGGTAGTAGGCGGTCTCGCAAATAGCCTGGCCCTGAGCCATATAGGGCTTTAAAGGTAATAACCAACATCTTGAATTGGACCCGGAGACCAATAGGCAACCAGTGCAGCTCACGGAGGATAGGTGTAACGTGAGTGTATCGAGGAGCACCCACTATCACTCGCGCGGCTGCATTCTGGACCAACTGTAGTCTCCAAATACTTTTCAAGGGTAGCCCCATGTAGAGTGCGTTGCAGTAGTCCAGACGTGAGGTGACAAGGGCATGAGTGACTGTAAGGAGAGCCTCCTGGTCCAGGTAGGGTCACAACTGGTGCAATAGACAAACTTGTGCAAAGGTCCTCCCTCATTCTATAGATAAATCAAAAGAATTTAGTGGCTGAAGGAGACATTTAGTATAATTTATTATCCTAATACCTTGCTCATCTTCTTTTACAGTACGTTTGAGTTGGTCATGTTAGATTTGAAGAGTTGAAATAATTTTTATATAAATAAGCCACTATGCTAAATTTCTAAACTGCACTAAGCTGAAATTGGACAAAAAAATCATAGACTGATATTACATGTGAACTTAGATTCTGAACACTCAAATATGTATATGAGACTGAGTAAAGATTTAAACCAGCGGTTCTCAACCTATGGGTTGCAACCCTATTTGGGGTCGATCGACCATTTCTCGGGGGTCGCCAAACAAGGCGATCCGCCATTTTTCCCCCTCAGGGGGCGGCACCGCACATGCACGGCACGTTTGTGTGACGGGGGTCGCCGTCACACAAACGTTGAGAACCACTGATTTAAACAGTGATAGCCTTACGTATCTAGATATAGAATGGCACATTTGCTTGTAATATGGCAGTATTTAAGGCAGTGGTTCTCAACCTGTGGTCTGTGGACCCCTGGGGGGCCATGATGTTGACACAGCAGATCCGCATTGGCTTGAAGAAATGTTATGATTTAAATTTTGAGTTAAATCTTGGGGGCCCATGCCATGGTCCGTGGCCACAAAAGATATTTAAAGAGGGTCCATGGTGAAGAAAAGGTTGAGATACACTGCTTTAAGGTATTATTCCTACATATATTTCTTAATAGGATTATCTTCTGAGTAAAAATACGTATAATTATATTAAATGATATTACTCTTCCTTTGACCTATTGACCAAAGTTATTACAATGGCGCTGAACAAAGAGACTTGTGGATAGTTCTTGTGGCCATTGCAGCGACCTTGCAGCCATGTGATTGCAATTCAGGTGCCTGGCAATTGGTTCATCATTATAATGAGCATCCTGTGATTACCATGTGTGACCTTTACTGGTGGCTTCCGACAAGCAGAGTCAATGAAAAGCTGGCAGGAGGTGACAAATGGTGACGATGCAAGGGAGTTGCTTAACCACAGCAACCAGAATTGCCACAACTGCTGTCATGAGTATGGTCATAGTGACATCATATTTTATTGCTGCATTGCTTAGCGACAGAAACATCACTTCCCACTATTGGCATCAAGTAGGGACTATTCCCTTTTGGCTTGTTGTTTACCCAAATATCTTCTCTACTTGCACTTTTATTCAGCTCCAGTTGCAGTGATAGTTTTCCCCCCCCTTGGGTCCCTATTTGCCTTCTTTCCCTCCCCTTGCCCTCCTAGACTCACTAACCTTTCCCGTGTGTTAGGAAGCAGGCAAGGGCAAATCACTTTCAAAATCCTTCCAAGAAAACTTCAGGGACTAGTCCAGGCAGTTGCCAGGAGTCAACACTAACTCGAAGGCACACATGCCCACACTTTTTTTTTTTTTTTTGCTCAAAATGTTCAGCACTCAACATGATGTTCCTAGAATGAACATTATCTATTATCCCCATGTTATAGTTTGGAGAGCTAGAGAACAATCGTCTGTCCAGGGCCTTCTAATGAACAGAAGCTGAGCCTTGTGGCATACTTATCTTTACTAATAGCATATGTTTTCTAGAATAAACAGATCTACATGCTGACTTTGTAGGATACTGCTCGATATCTATCAAAATGGCACAGTCCCAAAGTTGAGACTGATTTGCAATTGAAGACCAAGCCCTGCAACTTTTCACTCGGAGAAGAGATAAAAGAAGAGACACACTTTTAATGGTGAACATTTCTTATTCAGGGTAATTTTCCTCCCATGTGAATGAGGCAATTAAATGAGGCCTTATTTCCTGATGAACAACCTGAAGAGTGTAAGTGTTAGCTACTGCTCCTTTGCATTATTCTGTCAGCAAGGGGGCCCAGAGGAATGAGATAATGCAACTCATATGCCAATTCCTGAATAATTAAATAAAAATGTCTGTAATATATATGGGCATACACATGAGACAAATAAATGATAGATAAGGTCTAGCATCCATTCATATAACATTATGCACAGCAGTTGGGTGCCACATATGTTTAGCGGATGGCAAACAATTGGAAACAGGTTGTAGGTTATGCTGGAAGGAATTAAGGCATAGCTCGGTATTCTCCCTGGAATTAGGAAGAGAAAAAAAGCTTTCCACCTTCATCCTTCAATAGTCATGGTTATTCATCTATAATATTTAATTGTTTGAACTTATCACCCTTGCCCCCCAAAATTATTCTTGGAAGCTATTTGAATCTTAGAGTGTGTTATGTTTTACCTGGGTATTTCAAAATTATACAGAATCATAGACTTTTCAGAGAAGAACCGGCACAATGTGATCACAGGGGATGTTTACAATTGCTAGACAATTTAGTAAAACAATTTAGCAATTAGATTAAGGGCAACATTGTACAAATAATAAGCACCTTCATAGAATAGTGCATTCTATTAATAATGATAGAATAGGCCAAGCACTGCTTTCCCCCCCTCTTTTTTTATTAAACAAGGCCCACCCCAAAAGAAGGCTGTGCTTTCTTACACATTCAAGATACAAGAACGTGAACTTCTTCTCCCAACCAAAGGAGCTGGCCTCAAAATACCTTGCAAGAGTTGTAGACAAATTATTCTTTTTACTCTGATAGAAGGAGTAAATTATTACATGACTATGCATATAAGGGGCAAATAGAACTGCTCCCCAGGCAATTCTTAGGTCAGGTTTGGCCCGTGGCCCTCAAAGAGTCTGTATCTGTGTTCTACAGCAGGGGTCTCCAACCCCTGGGCTGCAGCCCACTACCAGACCTTGGTCTATTTGGAATTGGGCTGTGCTCAACTTGTGTGTGTGCCCCGGCCTGCTGCTCATGCAAATCAAGCTGTGCGTATGTGTGCCAGCCTGCCACTTGGGCAAGGGCTGTGTGATTGTGTGTACATGTGTGCTGGCCCACTGCTCATGCAGGCCAATTCCCCTGTCCCCTCCCCCAGCCGCAAAGGTTGGAGACTGCTGTTTTACAGTACACATTAAAAGAATATTTAAACATTCATAACTATTTGTGGATTAAAAGAACATGAATATTTAGTCCCCTCAAAACAATAGTGTCAAAAGTTGGAAAAATATTGACACTAATAGAAGCAATGAGACATTCAGAATAAAATCCTTTTTCCCCAGGAGAGAATTTTTAAATGAATGCAAAGAACAGAAATTAATCATTTTGCTGTTACCTTGGACAGGCAAGTGGATAGGTAGGAGGATATCTACTATCACCCAGTCACAATTTTTTAGGTAGTAGACTGGATTTCTCCACTATTTTGTTATGAGCACATCTCACCTCTCCAAAGGTGAGGACAATTTCAAGATTCAGGAGGATCTTGGCAAGGTGGAACAATGGGCAGAAGCCAACAAAATGATTTCAACAGGGACATTGTCAACCGTCCGGCTAGAAAATTTAACATTGAAGAAACTCAGAGGTCATGAGGTGCCACAAGAGATAATCTTTATTGAATACACATCCTGGCACTGAAGAATTAAAATCAACTAGTTTTCCCATGTGAAAATCTAGGTACTTAACAATAGCTTTTCATAACCCCCACCCACCATGTGTTCACGTTGCCCACTCATATTCTTTCTGTTGTTATGGGAATGGTCCACTTCTTTGTCAGACACCTGCTTTTGATAACCTTGGGTCTCATGTGACATGGACATCTTCTTGAAACTCCCGTTTCTTTCCCAGGCTCTCCCTCACCCCTATTTCTATGGCAAGTTGAGCAGCAACAGAGGTTAGCAAGCATCTTAGCAATTCAACCTTGACAGACAT